TACTTAATATAATTTTTTATAAAATTAAATATAAAAAAATTTTACCATTGAGTTTATATATAATTTCAATATATTACTCTCTACCTTTAAACCATTGGATTTTTATATTATTTTTCACAATTTATTTCAAATAACATATAAAAAATTCTCAGCACACATCTCAAACCATTCAACTTGCAAGTTATTTCAAGCATGTCACATATTTGATCCTGCATATCTTCTTACCAATGATATTTCAAAAAAAATATTTGTTATTACAGTGCTATCAAAGAGTTTGAAAATGTATCAATTATTTTAATTCGTGAATGGTCAATATATTGTAATTTACAATCTCAGAAGACAGGATTAGATGTGTCTTGGTCAAATTTAGATTCACAACTTCCATTTTTATCAAATATAGCTCTTAATTATATTTGGTTACCCGTTTCAAGCTGCAGTGTTAATCGCAACTTTTCATTATATAATTCAATTTTAGATGAAAATAGACAAAACTTGCCTAAAGAATCATTAAAAAATTTATTGATGTTATATTTTAACGGAATTCTTTAATAAAATTCATATTATGAATTCAGTTATATGTTATAACATAATCGCACATAATTGGCTATCTAGTATCACATAATCGCACATAATTGACTATCTAGTTCACATAATTGCATATAATTCTCAAAAATTATTCACATACGTCGCATAATTGAATTTTTAACACCGCATAATTTGCGATTTGTCACCACATAAAATCACTGTCACTGCATAGAACAAGGACATGTGTGCGATGTGATCTTCGTTATGTTTATGCAAATGCAAACGCTAGGTCTGAACAATAAGTTAAATATGGTGCTCACCATCAGGAATAAGTCTAGAAGATTTATTTGATAAAGTCTATATTAACATACATAATTAGTTTTAAACGTACAAATTATATAATGTAATCTTAAGATAAATACCTTTAATTGTGCATATTATCAGATTGGCGGCGGTTTAACTCTTTATCCGCTTCCAAAAATTGCTTTTTAATTTCATTTGCAATTTCATCTGAATCTTTCATTATTGCATTCCATTCGTTAAGTGGTTTAATAGAAGATTTGGGTGAGATAATTGATGACGTTTTAACTATTTTATCTGCTTTCAAAAATTGCTTTTTAATTTCATTTGCATTTTCATCTGAATCCTTCATTATTGCATTCCATTCGTTAAGTGTTTTCAAAATATTATCAATGTAAGGTCGTTTTTGTGGATCAGCGTCCATGCATTGCTTAGCTAATTTAATATAGCAATTTGGGGTTCCAGGTGCAAATTCCGGCCGCAATCCGTGATAAATTCCTAATGCGAGTAAAAGATCACAATCATGTCCATCGAAAGGTCTTTTTCCAGTTGATATTACAGACATGATAACTCCAAAACTATAAATATCAGCAGCGAAAGTAAAATCTTTTTCGTCTAATAAAATCTCAGGTGCGACATAAGGTAAGTTACCATACAATGATTTTGAACTTTCATTGAGTGATCTTGCAATACCAAAACCTCCAACATAAGCACTATTTAAATCATCCTGGAATATAGTTCCACTATGCAAATTACAATGAATAACATTATGCGTGTGAATCGTTTGAAGGTCGAATGCAATGCAAGATAATAAATTTAGTTTTTTAATCCAACTCATCTTCACAACATTGCAAAGATTTTGAGATAAAGCTCCCATTCTTGCATACTGCATTACTAAAATACAATCACCGGTATCATCTTTTAATAAACCATGGCATTGTAAAAATGTAGCGGTTTGAGATGAAATAGTATAAAACTTTTTTATCTTTATAGGATGGAGTAAGAATTAGTAAATTAAAAGTTTAAAATTCATCAATTTAAAGCATTTACCTCTGAATAACTTTCCTTCTGTTTGTGAAGCGATTTAATTGCAACGGGTTGTGTTAAACTGCCGGATTTCCACCGTGCTAAATAAACATCTGCAAGTCCTCCTTCCGTAATTTTTCCATAAATTTCTATTTCATTAAATGGAATTTGTGGCACTCGATGTTCGCTTTCACACAAAAAATCTTCGGCATAAAGTTTCGTTTCATAACTACGTTTATTAACCTTTGCCTTGCGTAACCACTCACTGGCTTTATAGAAATCTTGAGATATACCGTTACCATTCCGATAACAATAGCCAACTTGATACATTCCGTCAGGATAACCCATCTCTGCTGATTTTTGATAATAGGTGAATGCCATATATTCATCTTTTCCAACTCCAATTCCATTTTGATAACAATATCCTACATTACACATTCCACAAGCATCGCCCATATCGGCAGATTTTAAATAATAAATAAATGCCTTATGTTCATCCTTTTCAACACTGATACCGTGGCGATAACAATAACCAATACTACATATCCCATTAGTATTACCCATTTCAGCAGATTTTTGATAATATATAAAAGCCTTTTGTTCATCCTTTTCAACACCGATCCCATTTTGATAACAATAACCAACATTATATATACCACTAGCATCATCCATATCAGCTGATTTTTGATAATATATAAAAGCCTTATGTTCATCTTTTTCGACGCCAATTCCATTCTGATAACAATAACCAACGCAGCATGTACCAACAGCATCGCCCATATCTGCTGATTTTTGATGATACATGAAAGACTTGTGCTCATCCTCATCAATATTTGCATTTTTGATACTCAATTCTTGGAAGCTAATATCTACGAGAATTGTATTCTGAAGATCTGTAAATATGAAATCTGCGCCTTTAATACATGCGTTTCGGAGGTTTACATTTCGGAGATTTGCCCTCCTAAAATTCACATCTTGAAGAATTGTATTTCGAAGATCCGCAAATGAGAGATCTGCATCTTTAAAATCTGCATTTTGGAGAGATGAACCTCGGAGATTTGTATTTTGAAGCTTAGCATTCTCAAAATTCGCATACTGAAGAATCGTATTTTGGAGAACTGCAAATGAGAGATCTGCACCTTTTAAACGTGCATTTTGGAGTGATGAACCACTGATATTTGCTTTTTGAAAATTTGTATATTTAAGTTTCGCATTCTTAAAATTTACGTCTTGAATAATCGTATTCTGAAGATCAGCATATGAAAGATCTGCGTCTTCAAAATGTATGTTTTTGAGAGATAAACCTCGGAGATTTGCATTTTGAAGATTTGCATTTTGGAAATTTGCATCTTGGAGAATTGAGCTTTGTAGATCTGCATTTTGAAGCCTTGCATTTTGAAAGTTAGCACTTCGGAGATTTGCATTTTGGAAATTTGCATTTTGAAAATTTGCATCTTGGAGAGATGAACTTTGTAGATCTGCATTTTGAAGCCTTGCATTTTGAAAGCTTGCACTTTGGAGATTTGCATATTTAAGTTTTGCGTTTTGGAAATTTACATTATCTAACTTGGCTCTTTCCGCTTGTAAATTATTAAGTATCTTATTACTCAAATCTGCCCCCGAAATATTAGTATCATTTAAATCATCTATTAATACACCTGCTTGTGCTAAAATTGTGATAGCATTGGCAGAAGCAACTTGAACATCATCATTTTTTTTAGAAGCATCAATAAAAGCTAGTAACTGTGGTTTAAAGGTTTCTGCTTTTTGAGAGATATGTTCAATTAAAAATTGGCGAACTCCATGATCTGACACAAATGATTGCTTGTTGATTAGTGCTGATTGTAATGCAGATTCACATGGTTCTAATAATGCTTGCGCAATTAAGCAGTCTCGCAAAGTTTTATGAAGAAACCAATATTGCTTTCCACGTCGGATTAATGGCATACTAAAGCGTAACAAGGAATTCTCGATATCTTTATTGCCTAAAAAGGTTTCCCAATTTGAATTATAAGTTATAACTACATTGTTATTATCTATAAACATTTTAACAGCAAAATTTTTACTAAATTGTAGACAAGATTGTGAAAAATCATTAATATTTAGGTTTTTAAATGCTTCCTCTTCTTTCTCTGTTTTGCGAATTTTATACAGGCGATCTTGCACATGGTCAAACCACATCTTTAAAAATTCATCATATAAAGTTATACGATTTATCTGAGTTGTTCTCTCTTGTTCTATAAAGCGTCGTAAGACTCTCAAAGTAATCTTTAACAGAATTGGATTGCTAACCAAATCATTTGGTATCTTTTTTATTTGCTGTAAATATGTATATTCACTTAAATTTAGCAGATGACCTTTTTTTTGAACATAATTTCTAATATATTGGTTTACTTCTTTTTCTGAAAATGCTTTAATTGTCAATTCCTGAAATCCCTTTTCTCTATTTTTGGGAAAAAACCTTTTTTGGTAGTCTGAACCCAAATACTCTGGTCGACAACTAATAATAATTTTTGCATTCGGCCATCCATAAAATTTATTTTGAAAGTAGCATTCACGTTCACGTTCAACAATCTCATCATAGCCATCTAAAACAAATACAAACTTTCTTTTTCGTAAAGCATTAATTTTATCTGGAGTTAATTTGCATTTTTCTTTTAAATAAAGTTCAATAAAATCTTCTTCATTATTAAACATTCCATTTTTTAGTCGCGCTAATGGTATAAATAAAGGAATAGGAGATAGCTCGTCGTATTCATCCCATAGACGACTAGCAAGATAGCGGCCAAAAGTCGATTTACCCGTACCACCTATACCTAATACCAATAGTACCTTTTTACATTTTGAAGCCACTATTTCATTAACGGCTGTTTTCAATATTTTCTTAGCTATAGAAGTTAAGAATTTATTTACTACGCCTTCAAAAACATCTTTATCATCTAAACTTAGACATTTATTTGCTTTTATTTCCAGATACCTTACATCATCATCCTCTATGTCCTTTAGAGTTATAGGATTTTCCTTCAAAATGCTATTGATCGCTTTCATTAATACTTCTTTATTTTCTGATAATACTTCTTTTTTATTTTTTGAGATCGCTTTAATAAATACTTCATTTTTTGAAGAATATAAAAATTCATTAGTTATTATCTTCTGCAGTTCAAGTGTTTTCTTAACTTTTAAATCCAAAAATTGATTGGCAGCTTTTTCAAGAACTATTTCTTCATCCAAAGTTAATTGATTTTCTGAAACAAAAAAACTATTAACCGCCTTTATTGAAGAAGTTACATCCCCTGAATCTGAAAGCATATTGACAACTATTTCTAAAGCTTCATTGTCTTTTGAAGTCAGTTCATCCTTTGACTCTAAAAATCTATTAACTACTTCTTCTAAATCACCTTCTCTCCTTACAGAAACCATTTCCTTTCCAGAATCTGACGATTTTATAATTGATACTTCCCATGTTCCCTGTGGCTTGACATACAATTCCAAGGCTTCTTCACATTCATCATCTAAGTCTGAAAAAAATTGGTCTTTTAATCCATTTAATTGAGTTAAAAATTCGCCTCTACTTTTTTTCAAGTCATTCTGCTGAGTGGGTCTCACATATTTGTCTAATAAAACACCACTAAGTAAGGCAGTTGGAAATGATGAAGCAGATGTTTGTGCAGATTTTGGTAAAGTTTTCAATTTAATATGTTTCAAAATCCATTCATTTAGTTTTGGATGAATCCCCCAAAAGTCTTCGTTTTGATAAACGTTATTTAAAAAATCTATAGCACCTTTACGAACGTCAATATCTAAATCGGAATTTGCTGCCGATTGTTCAAGTCTTACACACATGCCCCATAAAAATTTGTCATTTTGACGGCATGGAATTTTGTAAATAAATTGCTCCAAGCTTGCAAATTTATGACTTTGGATAAATAAATCAGTAAACCTTAATGCCCAATACCATTCACGCTGGATTTCCCAACTGAAGCTCTGTTTTATATCGTTAACACTCTTTTTGGCTGATTGAAAGTCTACCAATTCTACTGCCATACTTATAATACCTTCGAACCCTTCACTAAGATCTTTGAAAACATCTGGTAGTTTTCCCGGATCTATGTTCTTAATAGCACCTGCCAATTTTGGTATATCTAGAAGGACTTTGCCAAATGCTTTCCACGGACTTTCATCATTTGGTATACAATTTAAAGCTTGACAGGCGTAGTCTGCGAAATAAGCTAGTTCTTGATTATTATCACTACTTAGTTTTTTAAGGGTGTCGTATAATGGTTTGCACAATTCTTCATATTTAAGATCCCGTACTTTACAATCAGTCATTACATCAAATAATTGCCCCAATGTTCGTGTCATTTCAATCTGTTGATCCTCATCTTGGGTATAAAGATTTTTAAATTGTTTTTTTAATATTTCTAAAATGCAAACCAAATCATTAGGCTTTAGATGTTTTGGATTTGCCTGACTGATTACATGAGATAAACCTTCCAATAATGGCTGATGTAACAAAATGGATTCTTCAATTTTACGAATAAAGTGCTCCATTAAATTTCTATAAATTTCTTCCTCGGCATCTGGCAAGTATGATAACACCATTACTTCATGTACCAAATCAAACGTCATAATTTTGGATTTAGCAAATTCGTTGATAATTTCTAACGCCAATGTGCGTAAATTCTCCTTTTGCCCGTCTGATATATCATTTCGACGTAGCTCACAAGCCAACTGTTGAGTATTGCTAGGTTCATCATCTTCATTCAAGGGTGGATTTTTCTCTGGAAAAATATAATCTTTCTTAAAAAAATTATTTTCATTCGTCAAATGACCCCTTTCGAATGAATCTAGATTAGGTAGATTTTTATACACCTCATCCATTATACCAAACTCATAAAGAATTTTATTTAATTTTCTAGATAAATTGCAACTACGAATTCAAGGGCAATAAACTTAATATTTAAGGACAAATGAATATTTATAGAAATTATTATCTGAAGTCAAACCTGTCCGAATTCTTAAGGTTTGTAGATTATTTACAAATTTGGTTTTTGGCTTCGTACAGTGTGCAGTATCTAAAAACAGAATCTTGCCATTTGTCACATCGCATCTTATACAAATCACCGGCAAAATTTCACGTTCACGTTGTGACAGAAAAATTCCAACTACCTAGGATTAGGTGTCTGGACACAAAAAATTTTTGTGATGCGGGGTATGTCATTTAAAAACTGTGCACTACATGATGCTGATGCCATGTCTCTAGTGTGAGACCCGAAAACGTGACCGGTGCACGTGACGAAGATCCCGAATGTCAGAAATGTCAGGTATGTCAGATATATC